GCGCCCGGGATCCGAACCCGGGCCGCCAGTAGCAGAGTGCACACTTAACCGCTAAGCCACGGGGCCGGCCCGGTACAAAGGTTTTGAGGAAATATTTATATCCAGAATATATAAAGAATTTTTACAACTCAACAAGAAAACTCAATTAAAAAAAATAAGACTTGAGATGTTTCACAAAAGAACATGCCTAAATGATTACATGAAAAGATGCTTACTATCACTGGTCATCAGGAAAATGCAAATGAAAACCATAATGATAACACTTCACACCTATTAGAATAGCTAAAAAATTGTTACAAACCAACAACAGCAAAGTTGGTAAGGATGTGGAGCAAATGGAATAAAAGTGGGAGCATAGAATGGCAAACTGTTTTTAAAAGTTGGGCAGTTTTTATACAGTTAAAACATATACTTCCCATTTGATCCAGCAATTCAAGAGAAATGAAAATATATGTCCACCAACAGACTACGAATGTTTAGAGCAGCTTTAGTCATGCTAGCTCAAAACTGGAAACGACCAAAATGGTTTTTAACTGGTGAATGGATGAATTGTGATATATTTAGATCATAGTACACCACTCAGCAGTAAGAAAGTTAGATGCAACAGATGAATCTCAAAAACATTATGCAGATTAAAAGCCAGATGCAAACTTAACATACTGTATGGTTCCACTTGTATGAACTTCTAGAACAGACAAAACAAATCTATATAGAGAGAAAGCAGATTAGTGGTTGCCTGGGGAAGCATGGAGGAGTATTAGTTTCAAAGAGGCATGAGAGAATTTTCTAGAGTGATGAAAATGTTCTAAATTTCGATTGGCATGGTAGTTACACAGGTATACATTTTGCCAAAACTCACTGCATTATACAATTAAAATGCATGCATTTTATTGTATGTAAAGTAACCTCAATAAAGTTAATTTTTAAAAATTAGAAAATTTCTAATTAGAAAATCAAGCATATTGCATACTGTTAAAACATTTTGGTACTGATTAAGTTTCTACTTTAAAAATATGTATAATCAGTATCTTTCTAGACTTCACTCAATTTGGGATAGCTAATTGAAAATAAAGTAGGTAAAAAGTTCCATGAGAGCAGTGCCAGAGACCACCAACCAAAAGAAAGTTGCTTAACATGTTTTGGAATGGTATATGGCCCTTGGCATGATACTGAATCCTTATGGGAGAAGAATAACCTAACAAAAAGTAAGTGTGCTAGAAAACAGAAAATTAGGCTGAACAAGTAGAATGGAGTCCACTCTGGTCCTTAACGTGCACCCCATTCCTTGAACAATCATGGTATTTTTGGTCTACCAAAGTAGTTACTGGGCACTAAATTTCATAGAGTGTTAATCCTGCTTTCCTTATTATAGTGTGATCCTCCTCAAGAACAGCCAGCAACCATGTCTCATATTTCTTTTGTATCATCCTAAGTGCTAAAGACAGCAGATACTCTGACCCAACTTATTTATGAACTTAGAATTGTGTGGCAAAAATGAAAAAGGGGTGAAAAGGGGGTGAAACACTACTTTAACCAACTAGCCTACTTAGCCTAAACAAAGCAACTAGAATTATGTTCAACATGTAGGATGGGAAAATCCCTGAGATCTATAGCCTAAGACACTGAAAAATACTACCCTCATATACAGACTGAATAAGAAATCTAAGTAAACCTAGAGTGAAAAAAGATATCTTGGGGAAGAAAAAGGAGGGTTGGTGGCTGTGGAGAACTGTCAAGAAATGAGGGAAAGGAGTGTTATTATGCTTTTAATTTCTTTTAAGGAGCTTCTAAGGAAGAGTTATTCTGTGTTTTTATGGCTTTTAAGGAGATTCAGGGGCATAGCAAATGAAATAAGGAGATGAGTGATTCCTCTGTAAACTGGAAACATTTAAGAAATCAGCAAAAAACAAGGAAGTATTTGTTACTTTGATATATCAAGTCACTTGACAGTTTTCACTTCACACATTTAAAGTCAATGTTTTCTGATTAATATATTAGCATATTACCATTGATTAATAATATTTAGTATAATATGGACTACCTCAACCATGTCCAGCATCTAAAATAATTTAAAAATTTTTTCCATTTCAGATCATGTGATAAGACCAAAGGGAGAAGAAAAACAGAACATAAAATTTCAATGTGATAAAAGAAAAGCAAGAGCACTCAACTTTGACTCCCCGTATATGGAAGATCTGCAGGAAAAGGTGGTTAATCCCTAAAATCTGCTGAGAACTTTTTTGTGGGGAGGGGGAGGGGTGTGTCATATAATCCCTGTTGGAAATAACATAGACCGATGTGAAGAAGATTAAGGAAGTTTTAAGGAATGCCAAAGGTAACATTTGGGGTAACAACAGGGAATGTGTGGGGAACAACAAGAGGAGCCCCGCCTTGGAGAGCTGCCATAGTCCAATCAGAGGCAACCATAGCAATTTGGGGGACAAGTGGTATGACAGAAAGAATAATCAGATGAATGAATGAATGAATGAATCAGTTGAGCTTGAGTTTGAAAGCTCAAGCTGATGTAGCTTTTCAGCACCATGACATATTAGGCCATGACGTTTCATGTTTATTTTCAATGGGATAGTACAACAGAATAATAACTTTACCTTTGGATTCTTGCCCTCTTTGGCCAACAGTGCCCGAAGTCTTTCTTGTGAAGGAGGTGCAATGAAGATAATATAGGGTTTCAAGTCTGAATTCCGGAGAGTCTTCAATGACTGTAAAGACAAGATATTTTGAATCTTTAAAATAATTTTCATCATTTAACTACTTCCCAGTAAAATACCTGGAATGTAATAAAGTCATTTTTTAAACATTACCTATAAGTGTTTCCAAACATCTTTGTAAGAAACAATTCACAATATTTTAAGATCCTACCATTGGGGCTGGCCCCATGGCTTAGTGGTTAAGTGCGCGGGCTCTGCTGCTGGCGGCCCGGGTTCGGATCCCGGGCGCGCACCGACACACCACTTCTCTGGCTATGCTGAGGCTGCGTCCCACATACAGCAACTAGAAGGACGTGCAGCTATGACATACAACTATCTACTGGGGCTTTGGGGGAAAAATAAATAAATAAATAAAATTTAAAAAAAAAGATCCTACCATTGACTATGAGAATATATTGTGTACCTATAAAATAACACGCACACACAATATTGGCTTGCACTTTTTTTTTTT